TTTTTCTTTGGCCCAAATACAGAAGAAATAGCAGACGCCAATCCTCAATCTTGTCTGAGGCCATGGTCAGCTAAATTGAATAAGCAATCACAATCTATTCAAAAAATCATGAAGCCCATAATCACACTATATGAAAAATGCATAGATACAGGGTGTTAAAGCAGATGGTTTCGATATGCTTTAAAGTGTTTCTTACATCATCGGTGCCTCGTGAACATGATCGCGTGACGGCAATGTATCCACAGGCAGTATTACTTTCCATTTCTCATTGTCCTTTTCCTACAAAGGCTAGCAACTCATTAAGTAATCACAATAACTGGCTTCCAGAAGCAACAAGAAAACCAGCAAACGCTCTCTCGTTGCATTTTGATGTTTACAAAGTTTCAAGTCCACTGATATAATGAACAGAAGCCTCAGATGACTAAGTACTAACAAGTTGGCCACTTATATGAAAATGGATACAAAATGTGGATGTAAGTTTCATTTTGTGGAATTTGAGGTTTTCACGGCGGTGAGTCTGAAGATTGCTGTCTTCTGGGTTATCAGACTACACGGCGCAACAACCCAGAAGACAGCCATTTTCAGACCCTGGGGTCGACTCAGCATCCTAAATAACTATATAAATAAATAAATAAATGATCACATTTAGGCAAATACTGGAAAAATGTGGCAAGAGACGAGGACTAATCTTTGTCAGTACATGGCAGAATCGCGGGTTTTATGAACACGATTTAAACCTTTAGGTTCCACAATTAGTTACTAGAGTAACAAAAGACTGTTAGTTCAAGATCAACCATCTGAATTAAACATAAAACTTGCAGTGGCCAACAAACTAAGAAACAAAATTAGTACTATCAGAACCAGAATTGTCACCAGTAACAAGAAATCCGCCTCCCAGTCATTTCAATCTGATGTGTAGTTTCCGCTCACCGTGTGTCAGAAAGATAAAAGTTCTTTGTCATCATCTAAAACAATTGCATTTATTGCATTGCATTACGATTATAATTGTTTATAAAGCAGTCTAAAGGAAATTCAGAGAAGCAGAAAAAGTCTTACATTGTCAGAGAAAGTCTGTCATGTAAGTTTACATTACGAATAATATGTGACTCGGGTGGCTTGTGTAAGAAATACAGCGAGAGGTAATCTTCAAAGCCAGACCTTAAAATCCCTTCGACGTAAAAAGAAAAAACTAAGGTCTAGCCATAACGATAACCACTAGCGACATCGTAAAAGATAGGTAATAATCAGAGTATGAACACGTAACGGGTTAGAGGTAACATTCCACGTTTTCTTAACCTCGACACTGGATGGCTGGCGATCTTTCCAGCCCGAAATAAACCCCCGCTAATCGGTGGCTAAAACTGGGCGGGCCTCAGTCAGCCACTGCCGGATACTAAACTCCGATCCCTCAACAAGTAGCTACTCAGTTCACTGACGATGTTCTCCTTCTAAGTTATGTCTTGTAGACATGCAGACAAATACTGACGTTTCAGAGAAACGCTGTCTCCATCTTCAGGGATGAAGTTCTCCGAAACGTGCGTATCTCCCTACGAGACCACACGGCGCCATAACCCACAAAACATCTTCATCCTCACCGCTATGAGAACACCAAATCTTACTCATTTTAGTGAATAAACTATCGCAGTTCACATAATCAAATGAGAGGGAAATATTTAAATACGTGCCTACATTGTAAAAATAAGCGACGGGCCTTATATCCGTTTCATATTGTTGGGTTTTAAATTCCCAGCACACAGAGGACAGGCAGGATCAACTTAGCACACGAACATGTCAGGTAAGAAGACAGGTAAATTGAGCTGCAGGTTTACCCGGGCCACTACCTCACACAAGCACGCGATCGGTCGGTCAGTCTAGCTTACCAAAAATTGGTAGCTTCCGTATGCCATGGAATAAGGTGCCTACCTTTTTTCAAACGTACCTCAGTCTATACCGATCTTTGGTTCGGGAATCGCATGTAGACGGTCGTAAGTGTTGGAAAAATCTATTAATTGCGCGTCACCCCC